CATGATCATATGCCAGCCTTATCCCCTCTATTACCTCTAATATGAAATCTGTAACAGACCTAATTTTTGCCAATTTTTTTTACAAAAGAAAACCTCCCCCCTTTATTTTTATAAATAAACATTTTTCTTAAAAATGTACCTGTCTAAATAAAGCAACATCAAAATTAACAATCATCATTGGACTTAGGGTAGATAGGGCCCAATAAATAATTTGCAGCAAGTGCAGGGTTCAACAACAATTTATAGATATAATCAACTCTGCTCAACACACACATTTTTCTTATACAATCAATATGTACAATCCAAAATAAATGGGCTTGGCCTAATAGAAAACCATGGTCCAGATTGACGTATTTAAAAGTTATCCAATTCAAATAAAAAGATTAAGTAGTTATAATCAAATAACCTATAACAATTATCCAAAATAAAATTTATAAGGGTCCCTAGGTCATGGCAATTATAATTACAAAATAAACAGAAAACCACGTGCCAAGCCGAGAGAAGGGAGCCTAAGCTCACTTCTTCGGTGCCTTCCCTGTAGCTCTACTTGACTGCTCACCTAAAAATGATAAGAAGTAACATGTAAGATTAAAAATTTCAGTAACAATTAGTTATTCTAACATATACCAACATATTTCTTGAAATCAGTTCACAACCATATCCATAGATATACATATGAATTTCACAATTAATACATAAAACAAGAAATGCAATATTCACAATTTTATAACAATTTCTAAATCAATGTCAAATTAAAACAATAGTGATGCACTTCCCAACCTCACCCTTATGGCTCCCAACTCCCTTATTACCACTAGCTGGAGCCTAAACTGAGGTTATACCCGGTCAAAGGTACATTGCCGTCAGAATAGGACTCCACTTCTTAAAAAGAAGGTGCCCATCGTCCCAAAATGTCATAGACATTGAGAACTACAAGAAAAAGGCCAACCATTACGCGCGTAGTGGAGGCAAACCACATGGCATAATATTCAATCATCAATCCCAAACCAACAATTATATTACTAGCCATCCTTATTACCTCTTTTGCATCACATAAAATAAATGTCACATTTTACAATAAGACCACACAAGTATTAATATATATATATATATATGTATATACACACATAATACTAAAAACCAGTATCTCGATATATGAAAGGATATTCCAATGTTACCTCTTCTCCAAGCTATAACTAACTCAGATGTGTAAGGAACTTCTTAACCACGATAATAGATTAATCTACAACATCGAATGATATAAATACCATTAGATATATATATATATATATATTATAATTTATCAATTAAATATAAAATTCAACTAAACTTCTCAAATTTACAATCATATCCTTCCAATTTAAATCCCTCCAGTAAAAAATCCAAAATTAACTTAAATTAACTTATCTAAATCCCAAAAACATAATTTAATCCATATAGATATCCTATACATCAGAGATCACAAATTTTATAGTTAAAAACTTAATTTTAAACTCTCAAATCAATTAATAGAACAAATCTAAACCGATAGAATTTAAGTACTAATTTATCTCTACTAATCAATAGTTTTCGTTATTAAAAGTCAATACTTACCCTAAGTTTAAACTTTAGAATTTGCTCCACTCATCAAAATTTTACTATCATTAGAAAGATCTAGACGAGTAGGAAAATATTTATAAAAGGAGTTTTGATAATAGAAATAGTTTTGATCATTAAATCTTACCTCAAAATGTCTTGCCTTCTCTTTTCTTTCTCCTTCTCTCTATCTCTCTCTCTCTCTTTCTCTCTTTCTTGAGCATTTCTATGGGAAGAGAGAAAGCAAAGAGCACTTTTATATGCTCTTTCCACTGCCTCTTATCTCTCTCTTTTTCTTTTCTTTTTTTTTGGCTATAACTTAATAATTAAGTTAACAAGCCCCCTCTTTTTAAAAAAAACATCTTAACATAAAATTATATTGTATGTTAAACAAAAAAAGATCTTCTAATTAATTTCTTTATCAAACATTCTTTCTATTTTTCATTAATTTTAATTGACTCTAAAAATTAAATTAGAATGTTACAAAATCAGTGGCTATCATGTGGTTATGTCCTTCACGAATTAACCTAACCTTCAACTTGTGAGGAGCTACTAGGCCAAAGTTAATTCACTCACTTATGTAATTTAATTTTTTCCAATACTAATAATCATGGGGTGTCGTACCCCTAATCTAAGCTCCTCATAAATGGGTGGAAACTAGTTAGGTTTGAGTTCTTCATAAAACAAGTGGGACAATCCCAAATTAATCATGGGACAAGAACTACCTTCTGATTCCAACTGTCAGTACCAAGGTAAGTTCTCAATTCCAACAGTCACTGTTAATACCACGTGAATTTAAATCAATCTACTCCTCTCCCTTAGCAAACTCCTGCCAATGATCATGAAATGCATATTTTTATGCATTTCAAATAATCAATTCATGGCATATAAACTCACATACTCTAACTCTAGGTTTATGAGTTTTATGGTAACTTGAAATTTTTGTTGATGGTTTGGACAAACCTTAGGCATAATTTGAGAGTTTTTGGATAATGTGGATAATTAGATGGTGATTTTGGTATGTTGATATGTTTAATAAGATGCTTAGACTATTTTGAAATGGTTGATGCTGTTAGATAAGCAATGTGAGTGCTATGGGTACTTGGAACCTAGTGAATTCAGGATTTTATCGGAGTGATACTGGATAAGTGTCACTTAATTGTGCAGATTAAGGGTTGTTCGAGTGTCATTATGAGAGTAAGAATGTGTGAAGCTAATGTTGAACCATGTTAACCCTTTTATGACAAAGGGTTGAAATAACGGAATAATTTATACTATTTGATTATATTGCTTAATTGTTTGTGAGTAGATATGTTAAGTTGTTATTTGAGATTTGATAACCTTGCATATTGTGAAATGTGATTTTATACATGTAATTTTATTTACAAGCGATGAAAATGATAAAAGTTTTATATGGACTAGTTGAGAAATTTAAAATGTATATGTGTTATATATGATGAGTGTGAACATGATCATGTTAGGGGGTGGGAGTTCACCTGCAGGAAGGAGTCATAGAAGTCTATATAGCATGTATCTTCTTAGTGCCTAGTGAGACACAACGTTGGAGACAGTCTCCTTAGTATCCATACGGGGTACAGTGTTAGAGTGTAATGCTCCTTAGCATCAGTGATGCGATATTAGAGAAACAACACTCCGATTCATGTGCGATAAGGGGAAACCTTGGGTCGAGTGATCCTACCATTGAAGGTGAGCTCAGGCCATTATGAATGTGTACTTGGTTCAAGAGTTTATAGTTTCAGTCATAGTAATATGAAGGGTCGAATGGTAGAATGATCATGCCAGTGCTAAATGAATTGTGTTTTATGGAAAGGATTTATTAAATATGCTAAAGTAAAAATAAACCTTTATTATGAAAAAGATTATGTTATAATATGCTAAAAGTGTGTTTTAGTGCTTAATAGCTTTACTCTCATATGGTTGTGCATGTCAATTAATAATAGTGAATTATTTTGTTACTGAGATATTTATATCATCCTGTGGTTATATTTTATAGGTGAGCGCTCTGGTAAGGGCAAGGGGAAGGAAGGGGCAACTGATGAGTGAAGAGCTCATTTGTACAGCTCTTCTCCTTTGTTATTTTGGTTTTATAACTAATATGTCATAATATTATGCCATTTTAGGACCATTTCATGATTTTTTTTTTTGGTTGTCACTTGTATGAGAATATGTGAAATGGGTGTATATCTTAGCCCAATATTCATGCTATTGTGATTAAATGCAGCCAAAATATAATTATAAGTAATATAATTGTAATGATTTATGTATCAAAATGATCAAAACAATATTTGTGTTAAGTTTTATCCACCCCTTTGTGTTGTTGTGAATTGGGAGTTTGATAGTCATTTTAAGTACGTTTGGTTATTGTGTGATATGAATGGTCATGTGTGATGTGTGTGATCCATTTAAGGTGGTCAAAGTGATTCCAGAGCTAATGGCACTTAGTATTATCAGTTAGACACATTTAAATGTGTTTTAAGGTGAAAACAAATCATTTTGAATTTAGATGTCCATCTCTTTAACAAATGATTATTTGAGTGTGAATCGTTGCCATTAGCTAGAGGGCTCGAAGAGCTTCTTATGGACACTTAAACCGCTCAAATTGAACATCAAATGTTGAAATGGCACACTCCGAAATTTTAAAGTGCTGTCATGACAATAGGTGCATGTCGTGGCGCATAGCAGTTGCACCACAGCGTAATGCTCAATGAGAGATTTATCCCTCTATGCCATCAGCAACAATAGGTGTAGCTTGCGCCACGACGGATGGGCAAATTCTGAAAAATATCCAGATTGTATCAACTTATTCATAAGTGTTGTTTGATTTCCATGCTTCCATTATCATATTTGATTGATATCAAACCATAGTTTGAGCTCAAATGATATTTTAAAAAAAATTTTCTTAGGATCTCAATATTTTAAACTAATTATCTTTAAGCTCTTGAGTTGTAATAACTTTTACTTAAAATTTTTAATTACTCCTAGTTATTATAATGGTATGTAAGTGTGTTGTCTTAGTAATGTCAAGGCGGACATTACACACGATGTATGGCATATAGAGAACATATCACAGCTTAAGTCCTTATGTTGTAGCACGCTCCTCGATCTTGTATTTTTTTTTTATGTTTTCAACCTATTTTCAATCAATATGTTATAGAAATCTATTCCGTGAATCTTTATGAACAGTAACTAAGGGTAATATTGATATTTTATGGAGATGACTTCATAAGTTGCTTTTTAAGGAGGAGGATGGGGGCATGAATGGTATTTCCCCCTTGCTGCAAGACAAATTTTTTTTGAAAGTGACCCGGGATGCTGCTTGATAAGAATTAAGAAGTATTTAAATAATATATATACATATATATATATATATATATATATTGTCTGATATCTACGCTGACCCGGCATCGAACGCAAAAAAGATCCCTTTTTCGGAATCACTGTCCTCTCTCCCGAGAAAACCCAGAACACATCTTCTTTCAGTGAGATCTATTTCAAAATCACCCTTCGTCTCCTCATATCCTTCCATTGTGCCAAGTCATTTTCTTCCATTCTTCCAGCAACCTCATTGTGAAATCGTTTGATCTGGTCGCTGCCTACTTCTTCTCCTCTTTAATCTTATTGATTTCATCATTCTCTTCGATCTAGATTTTTTTTCCTCTGTTGTTGGTCGCTTATTGCAAAGCCACGATCGTCTTCTTACCAATTTTTGTTTAAGCTCTATCTACCTGAGTATGGATGCTTTTGACTCGGCCATTGCCAGCTCTTTGTTTCTGGTCATCGGAGAAAACATGGTCGAGTCAACTTCTCTAACGCGCGAGTATTATTTGCTTAAGCAACCCTTGCCGAGTCACCTTCTCTGATGCGTGAGAATTATAAAGGCGCGCATCTTCTTGTTCTACCATTGTTTCATCGTCTTTTTGCTCTCATTCTCTTTCTTATGTAAGTTCTTTCCCCTCTTTCTTATTTGTTGATTTCCTTATTTTCCATATTTCTTGGCTGCTGATAATTTGCAAGATACAGAGTTGGATAGTCGAATCGATCCTGGTTTTTTTGAGATCCTGATTCTGGTATTAATCCGTCACTTGAATTTGCAGGAGTTCATCGTTGCCACATGTATGATGTAGTCAACATATTGGAGAGTGGTGGAGTAAGTAGAGTTTTATTTGTTGTGATTTGCTTAAAAAGATGATATTTTCATCGTTTATTTTGGACCACTTTGATTATTGATTTTCCTCCTAAAAAAATCTCGAGATTGCAGCAAGATAAGGGGAAACCCTATACCTATGGAAAGGTTTTAGAGAAATTCCTCGAGCTTTGAACAAGCTTAAGGTAAACAGACGTTTCCTTCGTTCTCATGAGTTATTTTGTTTGAACTCAATAACTTAAAGTTGACTGTGCTATATTATACTCGTAGGAAGAGGGTGTGAGAGAAAATTTGATGTAGCCTACTGCAAGTCAGCTGAAGTAAGTTTGACTTTTTAATTTGATCACTTAAATGTTTTAAGGCTGCTCCATTGCTGGCAAGTTACCCATACTTGCACTGCTACACATGACGACGGGAAGCTGAGGATCCAACTTTTGATATATACTTGGTGGAATGGGTTGGGTTTTAATCTTGCATTTACATGTTGATTTCACGTATATTTGAAACTGAAAGTGAAAGGCTTGAGATAGACTTTCCATAACTTCAAATAAGGACACTGATAACAAGATTTGTATAATATAGCAACTGTGGTGAGGCATGTCATGTATATAAAGCTAGAATTAATCAAATCAATATTTAGCATTTTGTATAGCTAGAGTTAGTCATGGATTGTAATTATTTTTATGATGATTATAATTATTGCTTTCAATTGAGCAATAATTATACTCAATTTGCAGATTTTGCAAATTAGCTTGGGGAAATGGGTTGGGGATTGCATACAAAACATGACTATTGGCATAGAAGGGTTATCATCCTAGAATTACTTTTATCCCATATTATATGATTACATGTTCAGTTGTAATGGTAAATATTTAGCATTTTGATTGCACATTTTGTATTGCTAGAATTAGTCATGTATATGAAGCTAGAATTAGTTGAGTCAATAAATATAAAAAGCTTCTGATATGATGCCACTTGCCTGCATTTCATTTTTTGTCAGAATGACCAACCAGCAAATTAATGGCTGCTCATCTGTATAATAAGATTGTTGATTCCCCAATCCTCTGTTGAAGAATCAGGAAGAATGTCGATGAAAACGTGGCTGAGAATTTTCCAGATTTTCTAAGGTTAGTTTTATACTCAGTTTGATTTTTATTTTTGATTTGTATTTTTTCTTCTGATATAAAAAATCGACATCATTTTCATCTTTGAATGTCTTCTAGATTTCTTGGGTAATATATTTCTTTCCATTTAGTTCATAATTTTGAAGGTTCCATCGACATCTAGCATTTTCATTTTGATTTTGCATTAGCATTTGCTAGCTGTTTCTGGCTTTCACATATCTACAATCTTTTCAAGTCCATATTTTTTTCTTTCATTGTTGATGGATCAGTAGTTTCAGTTCTCCTTTTCTCCCATTGTCTTGCAGTTTCTGGCTTTTCTCTCTAATACACACGGGCATATTTAAGAAAGCTAGAAGGGATTGACTAGAATTTATTTTTCACATTCATCTTATTTTTTCTTCCATTTTAATGTGCCTTGATTTATTTCAGGATTTTTGTGTATAGTAGAATGTTGGTTAACGTAGAGTTACAATGTGGTTATCTTCTTATTCCTTCGAAGAGTATATCATTAGATTACTTCAACTTTTGCTCATGTTATGTTTCCTGATTAAAAGAGTTGGTAAGCTCATTTTTCAGCAAATGAATAGAATATTGAAGTTTAGTTTCTTTTTAGCTTTATTGGTATTAGCATAATTAATCATCATCCCTGTGATGAATTTAGGATGAGAATAAATGTAAGAAGGGCCTTGCAAAAATTTATGATATTTGTATTTTTTCTTTTTACAATCATGTATTGCAACTTATAAATCCCCTACTATAACCCCTGTTGCCTTTCCTTATGGTTTACATGGAAATTCCCTTTTGTTGTTAAATTTTGTAGTGCATGAAGAATTTGTTTAGAAGATAGACCCTACTTTAAGTTCTAATGGAGATGATTGTTTAGATTTTAAGTTCATATTTACAAAGACAAAATCTGCATTTTGGTATTCTAATTCTAGCCAGTACAATCATATTGATATGTATTTATGATATTTTATTCTAATTTTTTAATCCATTTTTTAATTTTGAATTTCAAAACTCCCTCCATCTCTTCAAATTTTGTCTACAAAAGCTGATCTTTTCTGTCATCCTGTTCTTTTTTTTCCTTCCCCTTTTCTTCTTTCTTTCATCCTTTGCTTCATAATTTTGAAATTTGTGCAGGGGGTCTTTACATTCTTCTTGTCCTATTTTACCTGCCATATTTTGTTTCATATGAGGTCGCTTCTTTATATTTATATATATATATATAATATCATTGGTATATGTGATAATGCCAATTTTGGGAAACATGCTTTCTGATTTTTTTAGCATCATTTAAGTTTTGCATATTGTTTATGACACTATTGGATAACAAAGTGTTTTGACGCCTAAGCTGTTTGACACGCCTAAGCTGTTTGAGAGTCCTTAAATTGACATGGAAGCATCAACTTTACAAATAGTATAATGATTTTTAACTAAAATTCAGCAAATGCAGCTTTTCTCTCATGTATCAAAAGCAATGTCAGTTTTTAAATGCAACTTGACCTGAGAGAATAGCACATTACAGATGCATCAAGTCTCTGATCAACAATAGACCTCATTTAATTTGAACCCATCATAGATGCGTAAGAAAAGGGACTGCATTATTTCCACATCAGAACCTGTTGCCATCTGACAAAGTGACAACAATAAAGTGGATTCCATTTTGTACATTCTACACATCTCAATGAAAGAGAGAGACTATTCACTAATTAAGAGCTTAAGACTCTTTATCCACCGAAGGAAGAAGAATCCATATCTAAAATAAGTTAAATTACAGACAATGACAACTGGGATAAGAAGCCTGTTAGTATTTGTCTTGATTTCCTTTGTTGATTTGATTTAAAATTCAATATTTATTTTCAGCCTTGACTTTTTCTACTGTTAGTCCATTTGTCTTGATTCTAATTAACTCATTGCATAGGGGTGTCATAGGGGAGAGCATCATTTCATGGCAAAATACATGATCTTGGAGAACATGTATAGACTATAGAATTGTGATTTTTGTATCTTACATTTTTTGATAGAAGCAAAATTTTGTTCTTATTGCTTATTTATTCTATCAATTTTTTAAAAGTTGTTGATTGTTGATATTGTGACATTGACTTTTAAGTTTTCTGGATAAAGAGACTTTTTAATCTCTGTCATCTGGCATTGAGGTATGCTTATTATTTTTTGATTTAATTAATTATAATAATTTGTTCGTCAGTAATTTGTTGTGCCCTTTTTTTCATTTGTTGAAAATTGTAGCAATTTCCTAGCATTTTGAGTTTTCATGCTTTGTTTCTTGGCATGTAATTGATAAATCATATCCTTTTGGTAGTATAGAAAAATTTAAAGATGCAAGGTGACATAATAAGCTCCTGCTGAATCTGTAGCCAGCTGTCAATTCTTTTCCATCACAATTTGAGTTTTGCATACGGTCAACGTTGATTTTTTGTGAAAGTTTACAGACTAAGCTGAAAATGGATGCAGTTAGGAGGGATAATATGCCTCAAAAACCATCAATTTTTTTGTGAAAACTCAGGCTACGGATTCAGTGAAACTATTATCCTAAGTCTGCATCATTACCCAATTTGTGCTTAATAGCCGTCAGACAGGTCTGATTTATACTGCCTGGTGCAACGCCAATGACAGTGATCGCTTTCTGATAAAACATAATTCAGTTCTGCTTTGGTTTTATGGTCTCCATTTGGTGTCCTTTTTCCCCTGTTTCTCTTCCTTTTCACTTTTCTGATCTCATCTTCTCTCTTCTTCTTTCTTAACCATGTTGATTGATTGCTACTTGCAAGGTAAACTCATCAACATTGTTTTGAATAGAACTTGCCATTGTAAGTGACTGTATTCTAACATTTACTGTACAAGATGGTTAAAGTAATTTTTTTAAAATTTTATATATAAAAGTCATTAAAAAAATGTGTCTGTTCACAGTTGAAAACACCTTGATGACTGGAAGTGGTGCTCAATCTTGAAGGTTTGATTTGGAAGAGCTCTTTCTCCATCCACGGAAGTCATTTGGAGTAATCCATCTCAAGCTTTTACATTCCTCTCATGTTTTAACACTTGTATTTCTTTAGGGTTCATAAACTGGTGTAATTGACTTCTATTTTTTCCTTTGCAACTATTTTTTGTCTCTACAACCTTTTGTGAAGTGACATCTTGCACATTATTTAATTGAGGTTCATCATATTTGGCCAAATGCTGCTTTTTGAATGTGTTGATTTTTTAATTATACACTAAATGCTGTTGTCCTTGACTCATTAATGGTGCTTTTCCTTTGTTTGATATTTATTTCCTCTGATGTTGACAATTCACTATACTGATGCATCCACCATTGAAAAAAAAGCTTAACCTTTGATATTTTATTTACACTTCATGGAGCATTTTTCTTTCAAAGCTTAGCTCATATATGCGGTAACTATCAAAACTATTTAAAATTCACTTTCTCCTCATGGGTCTGTACTTTATTTTTTCTTTTTGACCTGGCAAAGGTTTGTACTATCAAAGCTATGGTTTTGTCAAGAAGATGACCGTTGATATGAGGAATATTCTTTTCGAAGTACCCTATAGAAGGGCATGCTTTGGCTTTCCTTTTTTAATACAGATAAACTTAAATGCCAATTTCGTGCAGTCTTAGCCTGTGGTAGCTTTGCCTCGGCTCTTAGGCAACATGCTTTTAGTTTGTCTTCATGGATGGCTCTCCATTGTACAATTTATTTGATTTGAATAGGTTTCACCTTCTCAGAAAAAAAGTTCTAGAGAAATCGATTTTGCATTGGCATGTTTTCTTATTTTAGTCTTTGCATTTATTATTGTATGGTAGTCGATTTTGCGTTGGTATATTTTCTTATTTTAGTTTTTGCATTATTATTGGATAGCAACTTGATAGGCGCTTTTTCTCCAAAGGGCAGGTTATTGTTAATAGCGATAATAATATTTCAATAATTATAAGATTACATTTAGTTTAATCAATTTTACTTAACATGCCTGATTGCTTGCTATCGTAATATATTGTCTGAATGAATAATGTTATCTTATAATAATAATAATAATAATAATTTATTGGGAACAAAGCTAAAGTTTATATATGGATAAAAAATAGACTTAACAAGCCAATAGTTTTCTTTTTTTTTTTTTAATCTTGAATTAGTATCCAATATCATAAACAAGGGGAAGAGCTTGAGAGCATTGAGATATCTCAAAATGAGCGGCTTTAAATAAGAAAAAGTAGTTCAATGTATTTTTAAGACTGCTACTTATAAATATAATTAAAAAAACTAAAAAATTTGGCATAGAATCGTAAACTGTCATAAATGATATTGCTATGATAGTCATGGAGAGGGATGTTGAGTAAAATTAACAACGTTAGAAAAATGGTTCACTAATTACTCAATAAAGTTTGAACTGACTATGTATGTCATGATTATCACTTAGACTATTTAAAGGGTGTATAATGTGATAGTAATTTATTTACAATATGTTAAGAGAGGTAATTATACTATTCTTATGAAGAATAATGTCCATAGGTGAGAAAATGTATAAGTTGAGATTGCTAATGAAGTATTACTTTTCATTATTTACTTTATGGAACAAGGTTAATGTCCGAGAAAAGGAAGCCATCAGCATTAGTATGTAGTTTGCATGTAGACTTTAATTGATTTCAAAACAAGATATTTAACTACTATTTAAGCCTACTTTTTTTAGAACATCGCATGGGGAATAAATGTTAAGAAAATAGTAGCAAGGTTTTATTGAAAAGTTTGATAATAAATATAGAATATAATAATGACATCCCTCTGACATAAATATATTGCCTAGTCAATCTTTATTGGACAATGTCACTCCTATATATTCTTTGTTTGAAAAGAAAGGTGTCATTGCATTAAAAAATATTATGAAAAACATACTTAGTAATTATATTATAAGCTTAATTTATGCTCTCCGTGCAACGCACGGGGGAGTAAAAGCTAATTATTTTAAATATCAATTGGTATATCATGCTTATGTATATATGTTTGCTTTGCTTTAAACTTATTTTTCTCTAGATTTAAAGTGTTCTAAGTCTTAAACTTGGGATCCTATATTTGTTATTGTTATGTTTAAAAACTTAAGTTTAAATATTTGGGTTAATCCTATGTTTATCAAGGTGGTTTTAGTTAAGTAATTAAGGATATCATAACATCCTCCCATTTGGCCTCGCTCAAAAAATATATATTTATAATATCTTTATTTTTTATTTATTAAATATTAATGTTAAACTGCATGCCAAATCTAGAAAATGAGTGAGAACTTTTAAGAAATTCAAATAATCACTAACTCCTCTCATTGAAATTATGGTTTTATTAAAAACAATATATATAAATCACCTTTTCTAACGTTTATATTAATGTTCCTATTACGTTTAAGACTTCATTATGTTTATTTATTTCTTTCTTTCACTTTACAAGTAGGTTTCTTTCTTTTTTAATATGTGGCATATTAATTTATAATTGTTTATTGTATTTTCCCCCCAGATGCTCCTCTCTTTTTTCATATGTTAATTAGGTTTGATTTAGTGAAATTTTTTTAACATATGATGGGCAAAACAACCCAATACTGCTCAACTCATTTTGCTCAAGCATCTCACAAGTAGGCCTGGAACAGGTTGCAAAATGCCATTCATTCATACTTCAGGCAGGGCTGGTGGTAGTCTTATTTGTGGTTGTGAGGCATTGTTTATGGTCAAGCATTGCCACATTCTCTATGATGTCATTGTCAATGAATGTCTTGTATCAAGAACTCCTGCAACCTTGAGGTCGAACATAATGGGGAAAGGGAAAAGATGGAAAATGAGCAAGGAAGTGATAAAGGAATTGAGGTCGTGTTTAGTATAAGAGAATCAAAACATGAGAAATGAAATTGAAGCTAAAGTTAGGGGTGTAAATGAGCAGGTTTGGGCCACCCGTGGCAGTACCCGTTACCCGCCCGTTTATAGGTAAACGGGTGGCCACCTACCCGTACCTGCTTATACCTATTTGCACCCGTTTTTAAATGGTTGCAAACAAGATAGGTGGATCTGGATCACCCGTTTACCCACAGCACCTAATAATATCTGCCTAAAGAGATTTCTAACACAAACTTGATATTTGAGAATCAACATCATTAAAGAAGCTCCCAATTGAGTCACTCCATTAAAAATGTGGCTCCTAATGGAGTCACTCCATTAAAAATGTGGCTAATTCTGGTATCAAATATCCTTTGATTAGATGTCCTATGGTATCTCTAAAGAGAAGCAATTGAAGTATTATAAAAACATTACACAAAATGATCCTTTCATCTTCCCCTTCCTAGAAACCACCCCCACAGCCACCACCTCTAGGAGGACAACCTCTCCCACCCCTTCCACAACCTCCTCCATGACCACCTCTGCCTTCACCATGGCCACCTCCTGAGCCTCTACCTCTAGTAGCTTGTGGCTATCCCTTGCCCCAAAAAATTTAGAAAAAAAATTAGCTTATCATGTTTAATTTGAGATCCTTAACAGCTTTAAAGTCACTAAAAATGAAAAATAAGCTATGCATCAATCCTAGCATTCCAGGTTCCAACATCAGATCAATCTTGTTATACAATATAAAGTCTATGAGATGTTAAATCATTCACAAATCATTAACAGTTAGACCCTTTCCTCAAATAAAAGTATGGCTAGAAGTATAGATTTCACAAAGGTAAATTATATTTGAATTACTAATATTGACTTTTCTTTTAAAAAAAAGAATCAAAACATATGAATATTTTAACAGCAAATACTAAATAGACAAGGATCAATAATTCTAATTTTTAAAGTCAAAAGATGAACCCATTTACCCTTATCAATCCTCATTTATCTTCTTTGGAGTCACTTGATACAGCAGAAGATTAAGTTATTGACAATTGACTATTCCTCTACAAGACAAATTAAGACAGTTAAATTAGTAAGTAATAATATATATTATATAATATGAAAAATTAAAATGAATATAAATAAAATAACTTATTCAGATTGTCATCAATAGCACATAAAGTCTCATCAAAATAGTTAATATCAATCTCTTTCAATAGGGTGCATGATATTGATGATAGCCAATTTTAGGTGCAAAGCCTTGGCCATTTTTGAAGATAAGAAACTTCTAAAAGTATCTAGTACTCGACCCTTAATATTAAAAGCAAATTTCGAAGACATCTTCCACCTTTAAAACTAGTTTCTTTGAACGCTTACTCATTACAGTGGCTAAGAAATTTTGCATTGCCACATCAATAATTTTTGTAGAAGATGGAGAAACTTTCTTTCCCTCACTACTAGCACTGCTATCCCCTACCTTTTGTACCAGTTTCAAATGGTTCACTACCACTAGTTATAAAAGTTGCAGAGTACTCATCAAATAAGCGATGATAGCCCTATAATCTTCTTTTTCATCATTTCCCTCTTTCTGCAATCACCAATAAAATGTTTAAAAGCAACTTCAACATAAGAAAATTTATATCTAGATCAAGAATCACAGCTATCACCAACAATAGATTCATGTTTTTTGCCTTTTCTTAGTATTTGTCATACTTACTTTACATCTTTTCTACCATGTCACTCAATAAAGAATTAGATTCAGCTATAATTGAATCCAGTCGTGTCATGATTGGAATTATATTTTGAAAGCATGTGTTTAATATGACATAATTTGATCTAAAAAATTAAAAAGTCACAGTGTAGAACAACTCCAAAAAGGTGAGAAATTCCTTTTGCATACTCCAGCCATATGCATTACGAGGTTTAACTGTACCTTCATCATCATCATTATCACCAAGTTCATCTTCGTCCTCCATTTCCATCCTATCATCAATATACCTTGAGCTTGAAGACAGTTTAACTTTCTTTTTGAAGTAGTTCTTGTAATCTTGATCCTCATCCTCTATTCTATCAAAGACCTTAGTGAACTTAATAGCATTCTGCAACATGATGTATGTTAAATTTCACCTATTAAGATAAGCAAAAGATTTAAATATTAGAAAAAATTACATATCATAATGCAAACAATCATAATTTGACAATCATGTAAATTACCTAGTGGGACAATTTATGCTAAAAAAGCTCTTTCAATCAATTCTCAATGTTTCAACAAGCTCCTTAAATTTTTTAAGCCTACCAGGAGAAGATATGACAAACTTGATTGCATTTCGAATAAGTTTAAT